GTCGGACCCTATTTGAGATAAGACACACGACCTCTTTATCTCCCCACCCCGTAGACTTTTAATCATCCAAATTTAACAGCATCAATCCCCCTAATATACAAATCTCCCTGAAAAATTTCAAAACTTTTCGACAAAAAGCACAAGAGTTTTTAAGCTTTATATTGGGTGAAGAAAATAGTGCTATATACACACACTAATATCCATACATACAGGAGAAAAAAAACACATTTTTTTTTATTTCTCGGCGTTTCACGGTCCTCTGAGTACAAAAATGAAAAAAATCTTGGGGGTTATTTTTTGACCGATTGCATTAAAATTTCTTGATAAATCTAGAAACTCCCAATTAGTCGAATTTTTCGAATTTCATATTTATAGTTTTAAGGGTCTGAAGTTCAAGTTCGTCTAAAAGTTTTATGATTTCATCTACAGTAAGCTATATCATAAGAAATTCGATTGTATAATCTGTTATAATTCCGCAGATTAATGGTGTAATGATGTAGACCTGTATAATGTATTTACTTTCAAATTAAATATAAATCAGATCAAATTAAAGAAAGATAAAGTAATTTTAATAAAAAGAGCTTTTATTAATTACGTAATTACGTATACAGTTTACNAACTTTTAATGAAAACTAAAAATTTACGTTGATTTATTTTTAAGTAAAAATTTGTTTTCCTTAAGTACTTAATTTATTATTATAATTATTAAAATAATAAATCAAATACAGCAGATGTTCTTAAAACCAATACAAAAACAAAAAATGATCACACAGACAATTTGTTTTATTTTATAATTTTATTCAGTTTTTTTTTATTTTTGAACTTTAAAATATTTTAATATGATAAATGTTGAACAAATAAATAACAAAATAAATATAAAATAAAAATAACATGAAGTAGAAAGAATTACAATAAATTGTAAATTTATGATAAAAAATTGAAATACAGAAAATTTTATTTTGTCTTTTAAAATTTTTTAACATTTTTTTAACGTTTTAAATTATAAAATATATAAAAACGAATAAATATAAAAGAAACAACGGTAATTATTATAAATAAATAGGAATTTGAATAAATAAAATATAATTAAAATACAACATGAATTTTTTTCGTCTTTTAAAATTTCTTTAACATTTTTTTAACGTTTTAAATTATAAAATATATAAAAACGATTAAATATAAGGGAAATAAAGAAAATTACCATAAATAAATAGGAATTTGAATAAATAAAATGTAATTAAAATACAAAATGAATTTTTTTTTCTTTCTTAAAATTTTTTAAACATTTTTTAACGTTTTCAATTATAAAATATATAAAAACGAAGAACTATAACACAAACAACAAAAAAATATTACACGGAAACTACGAAAATTACAATAAATACAATTGGAATCAATTGAATAAAATGAAATTAATATTAAACACGATTATCTTGGTACATATAAAATTTCTTCTTGCAATTATATTGGATATTATAAAGCATATAACATATAAACAACACGAGAATACAAAATAAATACAATTGGAATCAATTGAATAAAATGAAATTAATATTAAACACGATTATCTTGGTACATATAAAATTTCTTCTTGCAATTATATTCGATATTATAAAGCATATAACATATAAACAACACGAGAATACAAAATAACAACAACGCAAATTTAAAAAAAATGCAAAAAAATTTAAATGAATAAAAAATTGAAATTAAACACGATTCTCTTGTTACTTATAAAAATTTTTTTACAACATTATTGGACATTTTAAAACATAGGATTAAAATAAACAAGGAAGGAATATAAAATAAAAACAATTCAAATGTTAAAAAATACAATTAAATTAAAATGAATAAAAGAAAATCTTTGGTCATGTATGATGTCGATACAGGTAAAACATTCAGCGGTCTGTTTGATTCATATTTAATGTGTCGCATGACTGGGTTGGCATATTCTTTGTACAAATTTGTCTAAAAAGTTTTTGCTTTCATTGTCCAGGGCAAGTCTTATGAGTATACATTTTTTTGTAGGAATCAATCTAAAAGTCATTTTCATTTGTGCTTAAAATGTATACACGATTTTGGAAACTCAATGTATAAAAATACATTGAGTTTCCAAAATCGTGGTTCATATCTCATAACCTTTGCTGATTCATTCTCTGCAATCTCGGCAGGATCTATGGTAACTTTTAGTAGATAATTCAAATATATGTGATTACAATCTGTTTTGAGAACAAGTGTATGAGTGAAAGCCACTTCTAATTTATCCATATCGTCTGTTAACAATATCTTTTCTTTTTTTATCTTGTAAATATTTATACGAAGCTTACTTTGTGATCAAATCTGAACGTTTGATGATAGCTCGAATAAAAAATCTGAAATCTTTGGCAACCTTTGCTCTACCTAAATATAAATGAATTTCTAAAGCAGCTCCTTTCATTATTTTATTTAAGTGTTAATAGAAATCTTGCAATACAGCAAATATAGACTTTTCTGAATAATAAATTTTTAAAGTTTTTCTAAACAGAAACAATACTCATACATATCAATAGTAGATAAAATGATGCATTTTATTTCATTGTGGAGCAATTCATATGCTGGTTGATATGTTGAAATTAATACGTGTGTTGCTATAGAAGCAACCTTTACATTTTCAACTTTCTTCAAATTCGGCCAATCATTTAAAATGAATACAAAAAAATTAATATTAAACATGATTTTCTTCTTACTTATAAAAATCTCTTTTCACAATTTCATTGGATGTTTTGAAACAATAAACAAGAAACAAGAAAGATGCATAAAAAAACAATTAAAATTAAAACAAATGCAAAAAAAACGCAAAGAATAAAAAGAAAATTGAAATTTGAAATTGTTTTTTGTAATTTCAACATTTCTCTTTTAATTTTTTTGAACATTTTGAAATAAAGAACTAAATGCAATAAAATGCAATTATTATTTAAGAAAATTGAAATTTAAAACAATGTTTTTGTTGTTTTTAAAAATTTCTCTTGTNAATTGTGCATCTGTTAGCTAAAGTTCTACTCTAATTAAAAGGATTTTTCATTTGATATACCGATAAAAGTTATGTAACAATTTCATTTTCTAGACATTTTTAGAACTGTTTGGTAATTATTGATATTATATTCAAAATCTCTCAAATAATTTTTACTTAAAACTTTATTTAAATGACAGTCATTAATAACTGTTTTTGTTTGATTGTAAATGTATGTTTACCGATGTTTTATCGAACACTTTAGCAGCGCCTTAGTTTTATTATTGTGTGGATAAAGTATCTCTGTTATAATTCTACTCTTTGAGATACTGTTAAAAAATAATCTAGATTATTTCAATAAAAAAATAATAAAAAATATCAATATTTGAAANAACAAATTTTACTTGTGAATTTTTCCTGTTCAGATTTACGTTTAATTAGTTCTATTTCTATTCAACAATGTTTAAAAAATTTCGACAAAACATCGTAACTAAATAGTTATAAATTGAAAGTAAATTGTGCATCTGTTAGCTAAAGTTCTACTCTAATTAAAAGGATTTTTCATTTGATATACCGATAAAAGTTATGTAACAATTTCATTTTCTAGACATTTTTAGAACTGTTTGGTAATTATTGATATTATATTCAAAATCTCTCAAATAATTTTTACTTAAAACTTTATTTAAATGACAGTCATTAATAACTGTTTTTGTTTGATTGTAAATGTATGTTTACCGATGTTTTATCGAACACTTTAGCAGCGCCTTGATTTTATTATTGTGTGGATAAAGTATCTCTGTTATAATTCTACTCTTTGAGATACTGTTAAAAAATAATCTAGATTATTTCAATAAAAAAATAATAAAAAATATCAATATTTGAAAAATTAAGCACAGTGTTTCTATAAACATGTTTAAGCTTCAACAACATTTGCACTAAGAACTATTGTTCGTTTTCAGAAAAAAACAACTATCGGCATAAATAAAGTTATTACATAATATAATATATTGTTGTGAAGATGATTCACCTACGTGTGACTGTCCAATACGAGTAGGAGCTAACAAAATATTTACTCGTTAAAATAAAATAAATAAAGTTAGTTACGTCTTTAATAGAGGCAGCCAAAACCTTTTGGTAAATACTTTTTCAGAATAAAGATTTCTAAGCATAAAACAAATGGTCAGGATGATTAATTTATATGATAGGATGAGGTCAGCTGAACACNAGAATATAAATCAAGAGCCCAAACGATTGCAGCACACCTATCGGCAAACTTGTTTATTACCTGTACTTTTAAGGGTGAAAACAATAGGCATTCTGAGACCAGATAATCCATTGACTCTGGTTTTACTCTTCTGGTCGGGCGAAAAAGCTGACGTTGCATTTGCGCCACGGTGCCGAAGAAATTCACATTAATGTTCACTCAGCGTCTAGACGTTTGTGAATGGATAAAACCATTAAACACGGGTAAGTTGGTCGTGGGTTCGCGCCTCGCCAGCATGTTAGCCGCAGGAAGCTTTCCGCGTTTTGTTCACGTTAGTAATCTGAAATACATTTATGATATCTTTCTCATTCATTTTAAAATCTTTATACAGTGGTTTGGTTTGAAGAGCTGGGTCAACACGATACACGGCCAATCTGCCAACAGAGAATGTCTCTCGGAAGGAGTTTCTAAGGGAAATTCGTCCGTTTAAGCGTTAGACTCGTGAAGAAAGACCGGAAAAGTCTACGTGGTAATTGGTAAGACGTGAACTCGCAACCAACTACCAGATGGGTTTAGACACAGGCGTACTTTTGAATATGGATATCGCGTTGTGCTCTTCATCCAAATAATCTAGTGCTTGTTGCGATCATAAACATTTTACATACTTGTCTAGAACTTGGCTTAAAGCTGCACCACTCGAATTATTCGACAATACAAGCTTTAATTTTAATCTAAAAAGCAAAAATAACGACCAGTTTTTGTGATCTTGAAATAATTCGATGCAAAATCAAACAAAAGTGTTTATTAGACAACGAAAAGTATTTACAGAGAGAATTTGCATTTTTAAAATTAATATTATTATTCTGGTCGCATTTAATCATTCATCAAGCTATTTTTGTTTAAAGATGAGTAATTTAGAAGTTCTCAAATTTATGCAAGGCCAGAACTGTGGAGAGACATCTTTCCGAAGCATTCTTAAATCGATTAAAATTCCTTTCTTTTTCAGCTGCACTATGCACGCGTTTAATTCAATGTAATTCGAATGAATCCATGTTGTTTGTTTGTCGAAAATTTTTAAAGTCCATTTTCTCGAACTTTCCGAACGCTTCTTAATCATAGAAGTTGAGGATCAGGATCCGTAATCTGGAAACGACAAACAATGCTTAACTGTATTTATTTAAAATTTGTATATTTCTAATAATAATTCCACTTACCATTTCATAATGTGGGTGGCTTTTAATATTTCGGAAACCTTTTCAGAAATAAAGTCAAACGTCGAGGACGCAATTGGAAGTCAAAATTGGTGAGGTCACAATCGAGTTAAAATCAATATTCGAGACGTCACAATCGGGATATAATTAAAATTAAAGTCAAAATCGGGATAACGTCAAAATTGAGGAAGTCATAATTGAGTTAAAGTGCCATAATCGGAATAAAGTCAAAATCGGGATAAAGACAAGTTTGAGGAAGCCACAGTCGGAAAATCCAAATAACTAAAATTTAAAATGTTTTTTTGGTATTTATAAAGATTTCTCTTGAATTTTTTTTGGATATTTTAAAATAAAACTTCTTAAATCTGTGAAAATAAAAATGAAAATAATCAATAAATTTATCTGAAATATTCAATTATTTAATAACTTTTAAATCAGTAAGTTTATTTTTTCCCTAAAAACCATTATTTACAAATCAAACGAAAATTATTCAGTGCATAATTATTAATNAAAGTCAAACTTCGCGAGGACGCAATTGGAAGTCAAAGTTGGTGAAGTCACAATCGAGTTAAAATCAATATTCGAGACGTCACAATCGGGATATAATTAAAATTAAAGTCAAAATCGGGATAACGTCAAAATTGAGGAAGTCGTAATTGAGTTAAACTGCCATAATCGGAATAAAGTCAAAATCGGGATAAAGACAAGTTTGAGGAAGCCACAGTCGGAAAGTTCAAATAAAAATTTAAAATGTTTTTTTCGTATTTATAAAGATTTCTCTTGAATTTTTTTTTTTTTTTGGATATTTTAAAATAAAACTTCTTCTTAAATCTGTGAAAATAAAAATGAAAATAATCAATAAAAAATATTCAATTATTTAATAACTTTTAAATCAGTAAGTTTATTTTTTCCCTAAAAACCATTATTTACAAATCAAACGAAAATTATTCAGTGCATAATTATTAATTTGCTACTGTTGTGTCATTTATTATATTTCAAATATATTATTATTAATTTGATTAGTTTAGAAACTTCGTGTACTCGTATTCACATAAACTTGCTAAATATTTTAATCTCAAGTACCATTTACCCTGTTGCTTTCCCTGTGTTACGAGACTAGTACACTCCCAGAATATATTCTTGCCGGTACTTGGACAAGAATATATATGTATAATCCTAATGCCCTAATAGCCTACTCTAAAAAATCTCAATCTTATAAAGAACATGATGTATCTCCATGTTAATACACGTTTCCTGTTCTCCTGTTACCTGGCCATTACGTGTTCGTGGTATATAGGGGATAGAAATGGTGTTTAATTTAGATTTTCTACTCTCAACTTATAAGTGTTAAGTGTAAAATACAAAAATATTCTGATTAAACACTTACCCGAGACGAACTCGGACCAAATCAAGCAGATGGATACTTGATGCAATGATGGAAGAAAAGAGATCCTTATTCAAACTGAACGTACTCAGTCTCTCCATTTTTCATACTTTTCCATACTTTCTGCGCTGATCTGAATGTGAAAAAACAAATATAATTATTTATTGAAAACTTCTATCTGAATTTGAATTTTATCAAAACATATTGAGAGCGCAATATCGGCTGTGTTTATATTGATTGATTGCAAATATTACATTATATCAAATTGAGTTAAAAAAATGTTATATTTATAAATAATTGCTCGTTATTATTCATTTGATTTGTAGCTTATCTTTTAATTGGATTAGAAATGAAACTAGTTTGGTAAATCTCGATGAAGCGCCAAATACATTAGGAAGTTATGCCATTCTGATAAAAGATACGAAGTTTTTAAGATTAAATCTCTGCGTATATCTTAATATCGTGTATAATTGATGCTGTTTGAGGTACTTCGGCTTACCATCACACTGGATTCAGTAAGAATTGTAAATGCAAACGAATAACCGAGCTAACTCTGAATATGTGAATACTAACTTTGTTAGTATTCACATATACAGAAACTTACCTCTTCACTGGCTTCCATACGGCCTTAAAGAAAGATCCGGCTTTTTTAAATTTCTTTGCATCTCTAATTGCACAACCAATGGTACATCCAATGGTATGTCCAATGTTATATCCTAAGGTGTTCGTATTTTCCATGCCACCTTCGTTTTTCATGAAGCATTCCTTTATTTTGATGTTCGTTGGACGACCAATAATGTCATCATACAATTCATAGTTGTCCCGATCTTCAATTTATCGCTCACTAAAAGTAAAACGAAAAAATTTACAATGCATTTATAGAGAAATTACAATACATTACTTGGGGAACATTTTATTTTTTAATTCCCAAAATTTTTCATGTAATAAACAAATTATAGCTTTAGATGTTATGGCAACGCGACATTTTCGATGACTTCTGATTCACGTCAGAATAACGTCAGAAAGCATCGAGACTTTAATAGTTTCGATGTTTTTTGACGTTATTAAAATTATTACTATTTTGTAGACGTGTAGGGCCTCCTGTAATTCAAATTTAAAATTATGTGCAGAACTCGTTAGTTTATGTAATTTTTATATTTGTGATTTTTCGGTTTAATGCCGATCTCAGATGTAGACAGTGGCGCTCTATCGAACTTTATATATATATAGAGAATGCATATGTCGCTTAACGATGTACTAATTAACATCATAACAGAGGTTTATAGTGTTTAGTGGAGCCGAAGAACATGTAGCCGCCTGTTCCTTTTCTACGTGTATATAAATATAGATAGATATATAAAAATTATCATCATTGTGTTATACATATGGAGTGACCATATATTTGTTACCTAAACAAGGAGAGTTTTGAAGAATGAGAGAAAAATGTGTTTAATAATAACTAAACTTAATTTTAAAAATCTAGTAACGAGTTGCTTAACTTTCTTGGTAACATTTGGTGACTCCGTCCGATATAATATTTTACTTTAAAAACTTTTTACCTTTTAAGTATCATAAAATAATGTAAAAACTTAATTTTGAGAGTAGGGATAAGTTTTATAAAAGATTTCTAAATGCTAGCAAAGAGTAAAATCGTCGTTGGATCAGACCCTACATGAGATAAGACACATGACTCCTTTTATCTTTTCACCCCTCGACTTATCACCAGCAAAATTTAATAGATTCGATCCTTGTAATACACAAACCTCCCTAAAAAATTTCTGATATTTCCAGCAAAAAGCACAAGAGTTATTAAGCTTCAAAGAAGATGAACAAAATCGTGCAATCAAACACAGAGAACGTCCCCGTTCGCTTAGCGGCTCATTCCGTACTATATTATAACACTGTATAACTGTATTATACTTTTGTCCACCTTGAACGTTTTCTTGTACTAAGATTTGTTATAGTAAGAAAAAAAAACACAATTTTGAATTAAAATATATTTACTGTTTATACTGTTCTGTACAAAAAAAATTTTATTTGCCACTACAATCGAGCATTTCGGGTCAACGTTCCTCCTAAGCAGACAGATATTTTTTTACGTTTATAGTGTATACCTATATGTATGTTTCAACATTTTCTGAATAGACGTTTGAAATGCAATTTTTTAAATTTTCCCAGAAAAAGTTTTTTTAAATATTTTCCTATTTATTACAACACAGTTTCATTTAGTTAAACATCACTAATTCATTAAACGATTTATCATTTCTTCATCTCACGTAATAACTATCCAGTTCACACCATTTCACTCTGCAGCTGGATGGGCTTATTAAAATATAAACATAAAAAGGTAACGTCTGCTGAGAAGAAACGTCGGCCCGAAATGCTCGATCGTCGTATGATAGCATATAAGATTACGTTACAGTAAATATATTTTAATTGGGTTATTTTGTGTTTCTTTTTACTTATTATAACAAGTCTAAAGTGGAGATCCACTTTGGACTTGTTATAATCGCACAAGAATATCTTGAGTGGATAACAGTATAATATAAGTAATTAAGGACAAGAAGCACGTATCAATATGATATAACCGTATTACATATAAACAGTGATATAACTTACCTGTTAATGCGATCGCACGTAATATCGTAAAATGGCCGGATCTTATCCATTGTTTTTTTATATGCAGAATTGATGTGATCTTTTAAGATGGATTTTCCAAATTTAATTTTTGCGAGTTCATCCTGCTCCAACAGGCATTTTTCCTTGCCGCGATATTTAAAATAATCCAAATTTTTTGGACTTACAAAACCCGCATGTCCATCTGATCTTGCCCTAAAAATGGAAAGAAAAAATTCATATAACACAATAAATGCTAAATACAGAAAACTTTATTTTAATTTTAAAATCGAATATATAAAATTTTGCTAATGAGTACTTATGTAANTTAATTAATATTTGTTATAAATTAAATAAAATTAATTTAATTTAATTAATATTGTGGTTTTTAATTAACTTATTAAAAATAACTTCATAAAAATAGTAACATTTCTAACTTTTACACTGTTCATTTATGATTTATAACTTGATAACTGAATTATGTTAAATTTGAACGAAATTGCTTGAACACTTTCTATTCATATATGTTTATTTTGATACAGAAAAATTTGCGTTTATTATAATACAGAAGCATTTGTCTATTTTTTATAAGCAACTTATGTGATTCAATTATACATAATAGTCTGACAATTTAAACTTTTCTTTTATATGGAAACTAGCTGTTACCCGCGGCTTCGCACGCGCAGATTTTGCAAGCAATCCCTATTTACATTCAATATTTCAACAACCATATTAATTGTTATATAGCACCTACCGCTGAGAATGATGAGAATTGCTGAGAATAAAACGAACTGTTTTTAATTTGATAAATTTTCTGGAACGTTTACAATCATTCTATAATCGAAGCAATATGCAAAAAGAAATTCGAATTTATAACGGTTCGAACATTTAGTTAAAAGATCGAAATATATAAAATATTTATAACAATGTCTGAAATGTTATCAATTTAATACACCCAAGTACACATTGATGACGAAAACGTAATTAAAAACAAAAAAAAATTGCATCTAAAATAGTACAGTAGGAGTCTCTCTTCAGGTTAAACCTGAATGCTCTCCCTTCTCCCCCGCGGAAGAATTTCGAAAAAGCCCTTTTTATTGTGTGTTTTCATGACGTACTGTAACTGTGTACTAAATTTTACCTTTAAGTTCTGGAACTATCTAGAAAAAACTGGAACATTCTCATTGAAGCGTCACACAATTTCGAAGTCAACCACTTTCAACCCCTATATCTCTGACACCCTTATAGCTATCGACATGCAACCACCATAGAGCACGATGGTGGTTGCATCTCGATACGATGGGAGACTTGGGGCTACTACTACATACAAACACCATTCATGTGCAATGTGTAGTTTTGGAAGCAGAGTGAAGTATAGGCACAAACACGTCCATTTATATATATATAGATAAAAAACATAGCAACAAAAATTCAATAGCTTCAAAGTTGCATATGCTTCATATCTTGATACCATTTATAATGTAGTTTATTTGTTATTACTTACCTGTATATTTATTCATGCAGAAATGAATAATATCAAATATTAAATTTATAACACAGGTTATAGTGATCTGATGCACTTTGATGTAGATTTTACTTTAACTACAAAAACACTCGTTAAAATGTGATTAAATTTGAGATATATTTTTTCAGATATTCGATACACTTTCTCGATATATTTCATGCTTATTTGTTAGTTTCATAAAATAATTTACATACTCATTGCTTGTTTTTGTTTAAAAATAATCGTGATAAAACTGAAGTGAATGGTTTAGGTCATCAAGCGACTGCTTAAAAATTTAATTTTTTCGTTGATTCGTATAGAAAAACAAGAAAAAAATTTCATAATTTTTTATTCGATTTTAATGCTATAATTGATAATGAATTTTCTGTGAGAAATTCGAGTTTACCTGATAAACAAAGTAATTCGGATTAAGCTTGGTATAAAATAAAAAATGTAAAAATATAATGACATGTTGGCACTTTTTTTAAAGACTACATCGTCACAGAGAAAAACAATAGTGAAAGAATCTACTCTTAATCAAATCATTGTTGTATGTGAAATATGGCAAATTTTATAAAATGGAAATGTATCGTCTGATTACAAATTGTAAATTCGTCTCTGTAATCCGAAAACACAATTTGGTAGACGTATCTTACAGCAATATCTGGTTAGCAAATTATCTTTTATTTTTCATTGGACTACAAATATATTTCGGGTTGGTACAATATATTCCAACCCCTCTTCAGTGCTATTACAAATGAAAACAAGAAATATTAAAACATAACTATGTAGTCCAATGACAAATAAAAGATAATTTGCTAACCAGATATTGCTGTAAGATACGTCTACCAAATTGTGTTTTCGGATTACAGAGACGAATTTACAATTTGTAATATAATATACAGCAAGCCGTTTATATAATTATATCGTCTGATGTTTATTACTTAAGAAAACATTAAAATGTTAATAGGAAATTTGGTTAAAAACGTATTTTTTCAAATAGTAAAAAAAGTCT